GACAACTAACACAACAACATCCCAACAAAGATAAGGGCGCGGGGGCGCCGACGGCCGGCCTGCGGGCAGCGGGGTCAGGCTGCGGGCCGGGCCCGGTGTCCGACCCCTGCTCCCCGGGCCTCCCTCCGGGGACCCCCGGGGACCTCGCGCGCCTCGGCGTCCCCTGGGCGCCTACCTCTCCTCTGCGGACACGGGCTCCGCTTGCAGCCTGTGGAGAGGCGCAGAGGGAAGACAGCGCGGGTCGGCGGGGGGCACAGAGGAAGCCACAGAGGCCTGAGGAACGCCGCACAGGACGCGGCCCTAACCTCACCTGTCCTCCGCGCAAGCGCCCAGCGACTCCCCCGGCGAGCGCTCCACCTCCAACAGCCGCACGCTGAGCTGCTGCCCTGCGGGGGCGGGGTGTCAGCGAGGCCACGCCCAACCCGAGCTCCGGGCACGCCCCCCGCCCCTAGAGCTCAGACCACGCCCCCGAGCTCTGACAACATCCAACCCCGTTCTCCCGAGATGAACACGCCCATCCGCCCCCTGGAGCGCGGGCCACGCCCATACCACACCCCGCGCCCGCCTCACTCTCAGCCAGCAGGTGCTCCAGGCTTCTCTCCAGGGCCTGTATCTCCTGGGTCAGCCGCTGTTCCAGCATCTGTGAGGTCAGAGGCCCCTGGCCTGTCCATCTGTCCGGCTACACCGACCGCCCTCCCCCTTTGCGCTTCAGGCAATTTGCACTACATCAGCTCATTCATTCAATTATGAACGCATGCACGGCTTCCGCTGCAGAAGGAGGCCCTATGAACAGCTCAGATTTCACCTCTTCCCACTGTCCTCAGCCAATATTCCCAGTTACGCTCGGGCAGCTTCTGGGGAAATGCTGAAGCCACACACCGCACCCACAAGGCACAGCTTCGCCCCTCTACTCACGTGTCACCCGCTCCTGGCCTGCCCCACGGGTCACACCATCTGCCTAGCCTTTCTCGGTTAGCGTCTGGGTTTGCCTCCCCGTGTGTGTGTGTGTGTGTGTGTGTGTGTGTGTAACAGCTGTGCCCTGCCCTGAGGGTCACTGTTGCCTCTCCCTGCTACAGCGCTGCCCGCTGCAAATGCCACAGTTGGAGCAAGGCTTTCCCACAGCTCCATCTTCAGCAAGCTGGGGGGAGGTGGGGTGCCCTGATTCAAAACCAAAGGTAGCAGGAAGAAAGGAGCCCCAGCTCTCCACAGTGCTGGGCCTGAGCAGCGGGCACGTAGAAGCCGGGCTCACCTGTAACTCCCAGAGGTCCTTGTGCTGGTACATCAGATCCTCCAGCTGCTCTCCCATATCCAACCTGGGGCCCACATCCAAGAACAAGACATCACAGTTTAGAGCCGATACCCAGCCCCCCAGAGCCTCTGGATCTGGGGTTCCTCATTCGTGCTCCCTCCTTCCCACAAGCTGTGCAGCCCACTCCCACGCTCCCCCCAGAGGCCCACCACACCCAGGCTTGGGGGGTGTCCCAGCATCCTCTCTATGGGTCTCTG